ATTTGTGAAAATTGTGGCTGGAATGGCCATAGTAAGGCTAAATGTTTCAAACTGCATGGGTACTCAGATTGGTTCAAAGAATTGCAAGAACAGAAAGGGAAACATGTTGCAAACATGGCAGATGCTGATGAAGGTGACAAATCCCATAGGTCAGTAAGTGATATAACAGCTTTAGCACATGAAGTAGCTCGAATTATGGGAAACTCACATAAAGAAGAAGGTACAAGGGCAAAAAGGCAAGAGGATGAGCAATATGTTAATTTTGCTGGCAATGAGGGATATGAAGATCTGCATTTTGCATTGGCTTCTTATGATAATTTGGGAGAAGAAAGTTGGGTAATAGACACAGGTGCCAGTAGACACATGTGCATAAACAAAGAGATGATGAGTGATCAGATGGAGCTCCAACAGCCAGTTACAGTATAAATGGAGCTACAAAGTCAGTGATAGTTGTGGGAAATGTTAAAGTGTGTGATGATTTAATCCTCTATGGGGTGCTCTATGTCCCTACTATCAAATACAACCTACTATCTGTCACACAAGTGTGCATGAATTCAGATTTGGATTGCAAGTTTGATTATAAAAAGTGTGTGTTGAAACACAAGCAAACAAGAAGAATAGTTGGGAGAGGTCACTTAAAAGGAAAACTGTATGTGCTTGTTGATAAGCAAAAGAGTGAGGTGGTGAGTAACACATGCAAGGTCAGTTTGGAGGATTGACACAAAGTTTTGGGACATGCTTCATATGGAGTATTACAGCATATACCTTTCCTCCACAACTACTGCACTAGCACAACTGAGCACCACCAGAAGAAATGTGATATTTGCTTCAAATAAAAACAACACAGATTGGTCTTTTCCACTAGCTCTATACAAACAATGAAAACCTTTGAGCTGCTTCACCTTCATATTTGGGGACCATGAAAGGAAGGAGCTCTAACTAATACTCCATACTCTCTCACAGTTGTGGATGATTTTAGTGAAAGGGTATGGGGGGATTTTAGTGAAAGGGTATGGGTGTTTTAAATGGAGACAAAAGGGGAAATAGTTGGGTATGTAAAAAGATTTATTACCATCGTAAAATCACAATTTGAGGCTACATTTAAGTGTGTGAGGAGTGACAATGGAATGGAGTTAGTTGGGAGAGAGTTTCAAAGTATGTTGCAGGAAGAGGGAATTAATCATCAAAGAACATGCACTTACACTCCACAACAAAATGGAGTTGTGGAGAGAAAGCACAAGCAAATCATGGAAGTGGTAAGAGGTCTCTTGTTTCAGAGTGGAATGCCATTAAAATTTTGGCCATATGCTGTTCTTACAGCAACTCACATTATTAACAGACTACCAAGTGGTGCTCTTTAATGGGAAACACCTTATGAGAGAGTTTATGGAAAACAGCCAGAATATGACAGAATTGGGCCATTTGGATGTTTGGCATATGCAGTCAATACAAAGCCTACAATAGGAAAGTTGGAGTCTAGATCTGACAAATGTGCTTTTATTGGATATCCACGGGGTCATAAGGGATATGTGTTATTTCATGTTGAAGAAGAGACCAAATGTGTCTCAAGAGATGTGATTTTCATTACAGGCAGCTTCCCTTATAAGTCATGTAAGCTGATTGGAGAGACTCCAAGCATTCCTTTGCCTGTATGTGGAGATGATATGAAGGTTGATGCTAACCAAGAGGAATCTAGTGAAGAAAAGACTACAACACCACAAATGGTTGGTAGGGTAAGGAGACAGCGTGTGTGGATGAAAGATTATGTTAGTGGGAATGAGATTGATGAACAACCCTCTAGTTTTCAGGCTAATCATGCTCTGGAACAAGAGTCATTGAGCTATGAAAAGGCTAAAGATGACAAGAGGTGGATAGAAGCAATGAATCTATAGTTGAGAGCATTTGAGAATAACAAAACATGGGTTTTGTGTTACCTTCCACCTGGAAAAAAGGCCATTGAAAGTAAATGGGTGTACAAAATAAAAAGAAAGGCAGATGACAGTGTTGAGAGGTTTAAGGCTCGATTGGTGGCAAAGGGATTCAATCAAGTAGAAGGTGTGGACTACTTTGATGTGTTCTCACCAGTTGCAAAGTTAGTGACAATTATAGCTTTGGCCATAATGCAGCACTGGAATTTGTGGCAATTGGACATCAATAATGCATTTTTACATGAGCACCTTAATAAGGAGGTGTACATGAAGCCACCTCAAGGATATCACAAGGGCAGAGATGGGCAAGTTTGCAAGTTGGTGAAGAGCCTATATATGGTTTAAAGCAGGCATCAAGGGAGTGGAAAAGTGAATTACTAGCAAGTTACTCAAATATGGTTTGGTACAATCCATGCAGGATCATTGCTTGTTTACACAGTTGGTTGGAGATGATTATATGGCCATGCTCATTTATGTTGATGATGTACTGATCACAGGGTCTAATCCAATCTTGTGTCACAATTAAAAACCTTTTTAGATGCTGAATTCACTATTAAAGATCTGGGAGTTGCTAAGTTCTTGGGTGTTGAAATTCTCAGAAAGGCATATGAAACTTATTTGTGTCAAAGAAAGTACATTGTGATATGCTTAGGGGTTTTGGATTGGAAAGTTGTAATGCCTTACCTACACCTTTTCCTCAAAGACTTAAGCTTTCAATCTTTGATGGCACACCTATGGGAAAACCTGAAAACTACATGAAGCTCATTGGAAGACTTCTATACCTCAACTTGACAAGGCCAGATCTTGATTATATTGTGCAACAACTCAACCAGTTTGTGAACAATCTATTCACAAACCACTGGGAAGCTGCCTTAGGAGTTCTAGAATATCTCAAAGGAACCACTACTTTGGGTTTGCTCTATCAACACATCCATGACTACACTCTACATTCATATAGTGATGCAGATTGGACAGCCTGTAAAGATACTAGAAGATTCATCACAGGAATTTGCAATTTTCTTGGTCCCAACCGTATATCTTGGAAGAGCAAAAAACAGACCATGGTTTCTAGATCCTCAGCCGAGGCTGTACTTGCCTTGGCCACCACGGTTTGTGAACTTCAGTGGCTCCATGTGTTAGGTGTTGATCTTCAAGTTCATGCACCCTTACCTATTTCTCCGTGTTGTGACAATCATGTTGCAATGCATATCACTGCTAACTCTGTGTTTCATGAACGCATGAAGCACCTCGAGATAGATTGCCATGTGGTGCGCAACAAATACAAGGAAGGTTTTATCCAACTCCATTATGTTCCTTCAGGCTTGCAGGTGGCTGACATTTTCACTAAGAAATTACCTACTGCTCGTTTTGCTGATTTGAGGTCCAAGTTGGGCATGGCTTATTCAAGCCAATCTCGAACTTGAGGAGGGAGTGTAGAGCTTATAGAGATTGATCATGCACTTTGTATTGCATGCTTTATATTCTATTGGTCATGCATTTTATTTTGTTAGTTCTGTGCAAAAGCGTGTAGCACTTTATTTTTCTTATTCGCGCCTCTTTAAGTGTAAACGGCGTCGTTTATTGTGTTAGCCTTTATTAGACAGAACGACGCCGTATAGTGTGAGCTATGGGTTCTTCCTCGCATAGTATAAAATGTGCATTTTCAATACGTGAGATGTGGTGATGAGAATAAAACATCAATTTCTAGATATTTTGTATTCTCTGTAATTCTACAATAATCAACTAAAATGCTTTTATAGGAAATTACTCAATAACATATGTTATTAGTATTTTAAAAATGCTTTTACAAATTATACCTTATGTTATTAGTATTTATGTGAAGAAAATAGTAACTTGAGGGATTAGAACAGACTGTGTTGCACAAACTGGCACAAGTTTTCGAGAATGAGCCTGTAATTGAATAATAATAATAATCTCCTTTCTTGCAGAATAACCATCAGAATACTCACTAAACCAGAAAAACTTAGATTTGGAAGCATACATGACTTAAGATGCATAAAATTGAAGCTTAGAACATGTGCGATCATAAGTTTTGTATAGTAAACGTTTGCTCTTTCCTTGATGCATATATATTTATTTCTTCTCTTTTCATGCAGTCTCGGATGCTGTCTTTAGCTTTTGTTTTAGAGCGATGTCGAAGATGTGCTCTGCAAAAGTAAGCAGAAATAAACTTGTGTTTGGCTATATATGTATGTGCGTGGTTAAAGAGTACGAAATAAATTCTTTTAGTAGTAGAGAATCTTGAATGATGTGAATGAAGAAAGAACATAAAATAATGTTGAGAGTATGTTAGCATTTGGCAATCAATGGAAACCCAAGATCAATGTTATTCTAAATGGCAATGATTTATATAACCAAGAGTGGCAGCTTTNTTATCTTTAATTAAGGATAATATTACTTTAATCCTAATATTTTGATATAGATATACAAGAATATGAGTTGTTAATTTTAAAGTTCAGGTGATAAAACATTGTAGATTTTAAAATTGGTATGATTATTGATTTTAAATTTCATGTGGTGTAAAGTTATATAATTTTGCGGTGTGTTTATTACATCAAACTCTATCATTCATCAATACTGAAGACATTATTACACATTAATAGTTGTCATGTACCGATTATAGAAATTCAATGAAGAACACTTGAGGAAGAAAAAAGAGAATTGTATTGAGACTAAACAATACGGGAATAAATAATCATCCATTTGAATGTGTATTTTCCAGAAGGAATATTGCACATTGTTCATCAGTTGTGGTTAGCAGAACAAATTAATTTATAGGCATACAAACATATTAATTATAAGAAACATGCTAATAATTGCCTATAGCACCATAGAAGGTATCATCCGATAGCTATAACAAAATTATGATATGAATACTGCAATTATAGAAAATCAATTATGAAAAAAAAAAGGAGAGAATAGCAATTATAGAAAGAGCGTACTACAATAATAACTCGCTATACTAATGCAATTTATCACCAATTCCAAACAAAACAAACATACCTGTTGGGTTTGATGAGTCTATCCATCATCACCTAGACATGTGGGAAAAAAATAAATTACTCTGCACATAACATAATAGTAGCTTCTAGCCTGAATCATGTTTCATGCAAATAAGGGCANTAAAAAAAAAAAAAAACAAAACACCACCAAACTCCCAGTTATCATTCAGAATATTTTCAGCGTGCTGCAATTCTAATTAATGCTATCAACGTGAAAAGAGATAACTAATTCTGCCACAAGTGTGCAAAAGGCTTCCCTTTCTGACACGTCATCACGCACTCTACAACTATTTGTCTCAGTTGTTCTTCGACATCTTCAATGGGGAGGGTTGCATCCACAATCTACAATACACAAACTCAAAATATGAGTGAACCATGCAATCCAATCAACAGATATTCTTGTACCAGTAGATTGTGATGATAGCCACAGGGCATTGTTTGTATTGAACCAAAGTCGATAAACCAAAAAAAAAAAAAGACCAAATGTGTTCAATGTTATATTCTCAAGTAAAAGAAAAGCTGAAAGTTAATGCCAAAGAAGTCATTCTGAATTCCACATGGTACACGTGAAATGCTGAAGGATAACAAATATAATCTTTGAATATAATGGTTCAACATTTCAACAAGATGGAGTTCAACTTTATCAACAAGTGTCTACCAACACCATCTATCGAATTGTCAAAACTTACAAGATGAATTTTTTCTCCCAAGAATCACTTTAATAGTTTAATTTGACAAAAACAAAAGGAACGGTCTAGAGCTCAATACCTTCCATGTTGAGTCCTGAAGTGTCATATACGATTGAGCAACTTTTTTCTGAAACTCGAGCTTCTCATACCGCTCACCCCCATAACCTCCTCTTTCGGTAGCCTTCTGTATTTTTTATAAATAAGTTCACAGTCAGCTTTGAATACTATACTTATATAGGAACCCACAGAGGTCTGTAACTAGAAAGAACACATAATTGACACAATGAAAATCAGTAGAAACCAAGATTTTAGAGTGGAGCTTCCAATAAAAATCAGTACAAACCTAGATTCTAGAGTATTGGAGTTCTCATATAAACGATTAAATAGTTTATATAAGCATTCGAAAAATTGATATTGTTCTGCATCGTAATGTTAACAATCCAGACAAGTTGCCTCAAAAAGTTTAATACACCATTATACAGGCGTTTGTAACACAAAGTGATTGTATCCTTAAGTAATTTAGTATTAAGAAAAGTGTACATTAAACATCATATACCTCAGGGGATATGTCTAGGTAGATAACTACATCTGGAGCTAGCAATCCTGCCTCTGGAGCCTGCAAAATTCAAGAGGCACATAACAGAGAATTATGACTCATGAGTTACACACACACACACACACACACAAAAAAAAAAGTCTGAAGACGAATTTGGCGACCAAATAAATAAACACACACACACACACACAATATTTGCACCTTGCACCACTCCATATCAAGTCCCTTTGCAGATGAGAAAGCAACCCCAGAAAAAGAATAACGGTCGACAATAAGTGTGGTTCCACTCCTCAGCTTAGATTCCATCAGCGATCTGTGACGACAGTCACACATCCATTACAAGATTATGGATTGGTAAAAAAGAAATGGATAGAAACTTAATAATCAATTTGTTAAAGCATCTTAAAGGATGTTCAACCAATCAATACACAAGGGAAGAAAGATCCATCATATGTTGGCTAGACAATCAAAATATTGAACAGAAACAGAAAATGAGAACAATCATTCTTTCAAACATAATAATTTTGAAAAAGAAAAGACGCAACAGTTTTTCAGCTTCTACAAGAACCAACATCTTTATCCAGCTGAATCATGTGGGTTTAGCAGAAAAAGATTTCAGGATTCCTGATGTGGGTAGTGGATATGATACACTCAACAACCCACATAGAAAATAATAAAAGAAATTTATTTTAGACTATATAAGTATCGTTGGAATTGGGTAGCTAGAAGAAGCTTGCTAAGTTACGAGGTTTCCAAGCTCTAAACATGATCAAACGGAGTTCAAACTTTGAGTAGAAGGGCCAACTCGGCTAAAATAAGTGAATAACAGCTATCTTAGCACATACTCCAACATTTCAAGGTCCACCACTAACAAGGCTAACAATATGATTTCATTACTCATGTACATGATAATGAAAAAGTCTCACTTTTGGCAGAAAAAAAAAATGCTAGTTGATAAAGTATATCTATTAAACAGGGCCTGGAGTTAACAACTCAGAATCCATGTCAGCACAAAAAATATTAGCAAAGATCAATGCATGGTCAAAGAAAGTAAACACTGACCTCGTCTCCCAACGATTTGCACTAAAGAGAAGATGAATTGCATGATCATCTAAATTCGATTGGTTGGCTAGATAAGAAGAGATCATTTTCCCGACACCTGTATTTCTATCAGGATATCTCCATAGTTCAATGGAGTGCCCTAACTCTTCTAAGTAAGAGTGCAACCTTCCACACTGGGAGGTCTTTCCACAACGATCTAGACCTTCTAGAACAATTAGCGCACCCCTTGAGCCAATTTTGTCACTAGTTGCCATGTGAATTTGTCTGAAAAAGCACTTGGGGCGGTATTGCAAAGTGCAACGAGAACTTGGAGACTGTCGTAAAGTTACTGCAGCAAAATTTCTGAAAAGACACGGATTGACTGACAATCAATATCATTATAAACCTTCGATATTTTAGGAAAAAAAGAGAGTACAAATTGACAAATAGAATCAAATTATCAAACTCCTGATAAGAAGAGGAAATGCGAAACCCGTAACATTCCTAATGAAAGGGATGAATTCAGTTACTTCAAATTTCAAAATTGTAATCCTTTTATTTCAAATGAGAACGGATCGAAAATTGAACTTTGATCACAAACATTCCACCATGGAGTTTTATCAAATAACTTAATAGCACGCCTTTTACTATGGCATACAACCCATTCTACTGACAAAATCAACAAGTTTAGTGAAGATTAAAGAAAAGCTGTATATAAAGAACTGTAGCAAATGAGTATCAAATTGGACTTACAAAGCCTTATAAACGGTGGAGCGGTAAGCATTTGTCATGCCCTATCTTTATAACCCATATACATTATTTCTCAACTGCATCAAAAAATACCAAAAAAATTGCATATCAAGACGCTAATACCAGAAATGATAATTAGATAATGCATAAATCAACTAAAAAAAGTGATGGCTCTGCATTCAGGGTAGGAATATTCAAGGTAGGACGATAACAAACTATGAATCTATAGTTCTATAACGGTTTTGTGTATACTTACAGTCCAAAAATGGTAGATGTCGACGAGTACGGTGTTGGACGACGGCACGACGCCCTCTAATGCGGAATGCCGGTGAAGAAATTAGGTCAACAGAAAGGAAAAGGTTGAACTAAAGAGCTCTATTCTTCTTCAGACAACGAGGTCGGGAAGCGTGGGATTGTCAGGGAAGGCGGAGGACGGGGGAGTGAGGCGGCGGACGACGGAGTACAGAGAAATAGAAGAGGGACCGCGACTATTGGTATCAGGGTTGGAAATATACAACAGAAGTATTTTCTCAAACTATTTTTTGTTGGGACTAATGGGCCTCACCATACTGGGCCGCTGCATCTCAACAACTGTCCACTTTAAAACGTTGAATTTCATAACATAAAGGCTCGTTTACATACATCTTATGCGTTTTGAAAATAGGCTGATTTACATAACTACTACTATTAAACTTGATTTTATCTTTACCATTAAAAAAAGTTTTATTATGCCAGGGTTTATAGAAGCTAATAATATCAAGATTATGGCTTCTCGGTTTAATCCCAAGGATCTCACCATTATCAATTCCTCCTTCGTAACAACCGTAATTAACTCATATTTTAAGAAAAAAAAAAAATCATTCCAAAGTTATGAAAAGAACTCAAAGTTTGTGCAGATCGATTTTACAGGCAAAACTTACGTGATATCTCCGTTTTCTTTTTTTTAAAAAGGAAAACAAAGCAAGCATGAATTGGGATTGTAAATTGAAAAAAATAAAAATGATGAAGCCAACTAATCCTTGGATGTGCACAAAAAAAAGAAACTGAAGGTGGTGTACAAACGACGGTCGCTTGATCTTCTCTCGACCGGCTTGATAGACTTGCAAAATAGCGTCGAAAGTGGTTCCAGTGTAGAGACTCCAACGATTAAGTCAGAATGTGTATGAAGAAGACGATGACTACCAATTGTATAGTTTGTAAGTATATAAGAGAGTGTAGTGCTTGGATGATCATACATCACTCTTTTATATAAGAGTGTTACCTTATTGCGCAAGACTAATCGATGGGCTGACCAAGTGCTCAAACTGCCCAATTCTGTTAGGTCACTTGGTCCTATTCATTTGTGGTTCTTATCCTAATAGTATTCCTTCTTATCTTCTAAGTAGTGTGTTCACATAAGTTTGTCTTGTTAGACGGTCTAATTGTGCGACCAACTTGGTTCCCTACAAACCAGGTTGCTCTAATCTCCCATGTATGGACTTCGTTCCTTAAGTCGCAACCTCAACCTGTCTGTTTTTGTTTTCAGGTCGAGTTTCTACCAGGCTGATCGAGAGCCCTATCTCGACCTGATGGTGAGCTTCCTTATATCTGAGGTCATCTTCCTTGTATGTGAGGTCATCTTCGACATGGTGATTCTTCCACTTCCCGTGTCCTTGTTGTTCGATCGACCTGCCGGTCCATATGAACCATTCCTTAGGTCATACTCGACTTGGCATGGTATCCCCTATCAGAAAGTATTTTCGAATGCCGACTTTGTTTAGAAGTTTTTTTTATTTTATTTTTATTTTATTTTATTTTTTTGCGTCTGACGATTTTGGATGTCTGTACACGTATAAAAATGTCTAAATTAATGGTGTTTATCCATTACAATGGAGTCTGATCCAACAATGACTACATAGATCATCATGTTGGAGGAATTTTTATCAGTGAATTTCACAGTTATGATGAGCTTCGCAATATAGCTTTTAGATAAACTCAAAGTAAACTTGTTATCAAATTATTTGGAAATGAGGTATCTAAGTGAAGGAAGGTTATCCACTTATGAGAATAGATGATGATAGCGACCTTCAATTCTACATTGTATTGAAGTCAAGAGAAGAGGACTACACAAAATTTTCATTGTGTACATTAGTCAAAGGGTTAAGTAATGCCACCTCGCATGTTGGTAGCGTACCAACATCAATGTCGGCATATGAATGCAATATAACCTCATTATAATATATAAATGTTATTACTTAGATTTAGGTATGTAAATTTATTATAAATTCAAGTAAGTCCATTTTTTAAGTAGTGAAAATAAATAAAAAAAAATAAGATATTTAATATTAATTTCTAAAAGCCCAACCTAGACGCCCGGCGCCTAGCAAAGCACCTAGCAAGATTTAGAACACTGGTTGTAATCCTTCTTGTTTCTAAATAAAGCTATCCATCCTCCAGGGACTTAAGTTGCCAAAAATTAAGGACAAAAGGTGAAAATGTGTAGACATGCCTCTAATGAATTCAATTTCCATACATGCATGCAAGTAGATTTCACAATCAGACACATGATCAACTTTAACAAAAACAAGTCAATAACCTGATGCACTAGGCTATAACAAGAAAACACATCCGAAAAAACAGAAATAGCACCCCATCACAAATCCCTTCTAATTCTTAGCCCTGAGAGAATTATTCTCCTTGATCCTGGCTCGATTATCCAGCTTGACAAACCTCTTCAAATCCTCAAATGGAAGGTTTTCCACGTCCTTCCTCCTAAGCTCACTCAGGGCCGGCTTTTTGTCGAGCAACAGCCACAGCCAATCCGGGTACTCTGAATCAGGCAGGATTTTTGGGTCTTGTCCATCTTTTAGGATGTTAGCTCCAAAAACAGTAGTGGATTTTACTTCTTTGGTCAACAGTGATGCTTTTGGTGCAGTTGAAGCTGCACCACCTTTGGAGCCTTTCTTTTTAGCAGCACCTGCAGCAAATGTCCTGTGGCCCACCATTCGAAGCACCTCCTTAAGTGGGGTGGGGTTTCTCAATGATCTGATGGAAGTGATTGGCATGTCTGTGGCTGCAGAATGAGCGAGAGTTATTCATGTCGACTTTGAAATCAGGAATACAATTACATTGACAAACTAAAAAAAAGGATAAATCTCACACTAATCAAGTTTGAGTTATTATTTCATGTGCTTGGTCTCTCATCTACAATGTTCTCAATT